GTCCGAGCGTCCCAGACCGAGAGCCAACCGGGGTGGGAGGGGGGTGGGGAGGGGAAAGGCCTTGGGAGAGCAATCCAGAGCCAGAAGAGAACCAAAACCGAAAGGCACCGGAACCAAAGGGTGAAGGGACGATCCTCCGGAAGGGTCCTCACCTATATACTGGGCATGATGTGTATGTTATGGAATAGATTATTGGTCACTCTGGTTCTCAATCTAGTAACCGAAGAACAAATCCTGGGCTAGTAGCTGGGGCTGTGCCCTCCCAGCCCCCCGCCCTGTCTGTGAAGAGCGAAGAGGCTGAAGGACCTTCATTCCTTATCAACATTCAATCCTTATCAACTTCTCCTGAGCACAAATCCAAAACACAGCCTCTTGCTAGCTATTATGAAGAAAGTTAACTCTGTCTCTGCTTAACCCAGGACATCATCTCAGGGACCTTGTTTCCTTGCTCTGTATTCTTTGCAGGGTTGGGCAAAGGTGGAGGTTTGGTGCTCGTGCTTGTTGGCTTTTGAAGGGGGCGTGGGTCAAATAAGCAAATAAGCATTTTGCTGAGATGACAGGCTGTACTGTAGTGTAATGTGGTGTCCAGGAGGTCAAAGACAGTGCTCCTGGCAGTGACTTGAAGTAAGATGGTAGGTCGTCCATTCTTGTTCAGAATATTCATCTGTAACACATCTATCCTGCCCTCTGAAAGCATTCCAGGAGACAGTTGCTCTGTGAAGCACACAGGAAAGGGAAACACCCTCTGCCCATGTGCCCTGCTCCAGCTCCCTTTCTCTTCCTCTGAACTGGTGTTTCCAAAGTCCCAGACAAGTTTCCAGCAATGGTGAACACACAGAGCATTTAAGTCAGGGTGTGGAGGGGCAGATGGAGGTACACTTAGGCTGGTGGTCTGGGAAGGATGTGGAAGGAGGTTTGGGGGGGGATGTTATGTTATGATGGACATAACCTGGATAAAATGTTTTGTGCTGATGCTAAGCAAGACATTTTCCAGAGGATGAGGGGAACCTCACAGTGACACCAGGAACACATCCCTTGTGGTGACTTGTCCTCTGCCTCCTCTTCCCACCATCATGTCCCACAGCAGCTCCCTACATCCCATGGTCTCTTTTTCATCTGTCCCACAGAGCTATGACAAGAGCTTCAGCTAAGGAAGGGGAGCCCAATGGGGTCATCATGGCTCCTGAAGAGATAAAAGAGGAAGAAATGGAAGAGAGAGGCCAGTGGAGTAGCAAAATGGAGTTTGTGCTGTCTGTGGCCGGGGAGATCATCGGTCTGGGTAACGTGTGGAGGTTCCCATACCTCTGCTACAAGAATGGCGGTGGTAAGTTCACAGCATGCATGAGTTGTCCTAGGTCTGTAGGTGTGATGAGAGATACATATGTGCATGGACCCATTTCTCCTATGCCTCATGTGCCCCACATCCAATCCTTTATTTTCTCCTCCAGCAAGTCAGCTCCTGCCAAAACCAGGAGGAATAGAAACTGAGGGGTGAATCCAGCTCCCCAGCTGGTACTGTTTCTCAAAGCAGCTCTTCCAAATTTGGTGCCAAGTTGAACTTCTCTTTAAGGTTCTTGGGCATCTTGAGAGACAGTTGGTCTTCTGAAACCATCAATTGCTGTGAGTCATCAGAAAGCCATCAGAAACCTCCTTCTACATAATTCCGTTTTCCCACTCTCCATGTCATCCTCACCTCTCTCAGGCCCTTGTTACAGAGGAGAAAAGGCTTTGATGGCACCAGTATCCTTGCCAAGGCCTGATATCCCCTAGAAGGACATTGCTACCTCTACCCCAGAACGGTTCTCCCAGTAGTTAACCCACTGCTAGGGAAACCCATCCCTAGGAAGCATTTACCTTTTGTTTCTTGTGTGACTCTCATTTTCCAATAACACTGCAATAAGATCATTACATGGTTAAAAATTAAACTTTCTTGTAACAATAAAATGAAATTGAAGAGAATAATTGACTGTCACAAACTTTTCTTGGTGAATCAAAATCTAACTTTATAAAAGAAAAGGAGGAATAATAAATTATATGTCAAATACAGCAATAACTTCTCTTTTGTTCTTGTTCTCTAGTGACACCCTGAAATAACACTTTGGGATTTGCACGTTCCTCCCACTTTAAACTTCCTTTCTCTGCAGACCATGCTACAAAGGCCTTTCTTTCCCAAGGTGCTGTGAGCTTTCACCAGTGAATGAGTGATTCAGCTGTAGTTCATCCCAGGACTACCAAATTCCTGTCCCCTGTGGTGTTTACTGGCATTTATCCAAATCAAGCAGGATTCAAATCAGTCTTCTCTGAACCAAATGGGGGTTGGATAAGAGGATGGTTAAAGAAAATGGAATTGAGTTTTTATTGAACCTTTGATGGTTTTTAGCAGATCCTCCAGTCTCCTCTTCTAGGCTTTTGGTGGTAGGCACTGGAGGCACCAAAAGCAAGTCAGACTGGCATGGGTTAGTAAACACTAGTGGTGCATCTGATTGAACAGCATATTCTGCAGTGACGCTTTGAGAGAGAAGTCATGGTTTTTGCATGGAAAATTCCTTCCTGAGCTCAGATGATATCTTTGCATAGTTTATGCCTGTGGTATCCGGTTCAGTAGTCTTTGCAATTTGTATGCTAATTAGTGTAAGTGGAAAGGCTACTTTTGTTCATTTTAGATATCTATTGAAAAGCTTTTTTTTTTTTTTTTTTTTAATATCTTTTTAAAAAGTTTTTTTTTTTTTTTTTTTTTTTTTTTCTTTTTCAAATTAAACTACTCTGGAATATGTAAGGCTGTGATTCAGAGGCCAACAAGTCTAGGCTTGGGAAAGATTAGGATGGGAGATTCCTTCCCTCAATTGCTGTGAGTAGTCACAAAGCCATCAGCAACCTCCTTCTACATTATTCCCTTTTCCCACTCTCCATGTCATCCTCACCTCTCTCAGGCCCTTGTTATAGAGGAGGAAAGGCTTTGATGGTGCCAGTAGACGATGTAGAAGGTACATTTCTCTCTCCAGTGCTCTAGGGAACCAGGCAGCTGACAAACTAGTATGGGACAAGGCACTGTCATTCCCATGACACTCAAAGACATTCTCACCACTGAAAAAGTCCTTGAAATTGCAAAAAAAGACATTTTCCACCTATAAATGCCATGTATGCCCCCCCTTCGCCCCCTGCAAATTGGAGGCTGATGTCCTGAGACCTCTCTCCACCTTCGGTTGTAGTGAGACAGTTATAAAGCTGTAAAGACAGATTTCATAAAAACAGTTGTGCTAACTTGCTGTAAAGCAACCAAGTGTAAACTTATCTATGGTTGCACTTTCAAATTTGATCTCACTGCTCAGCATCCTGAACTTGTTATTGGCTTGTAAGGAAAAAGGGTCTGTTTCTGGGGTCCCCTCTCAAGGCTGGGTCTCCTCCAGTGGAGCAGCAAACTGGGGAGGAGATTACAACTGGAGTTTTAGCTGTTAACTGCTCCGGGAAGGTTAAGAGAGACAAGACAGTAGAGGTGTAAGAAAGCTCTCATTGCTCAGAGACCAAAATGGATCAACCTCTGGGACAAATGGTATCAGAGGAGAGGATATGGGACCTGCTGAAAGGCTCATCTCTCTGCAGGATAATAAAGCTGTCTGGCAGATTTGGCATACAGATAGGCGTCTTGCAGCACTGAAAGCAGCAGCTGCCTCTAGTTCCACATATGCAGTTTCCATTCCTTGCTCTGCAAACCTGGATGGATGCTGTGAAGCAGCCTCCCTACCTCTGGCCCCAGGTCGCCTGCAGCTACGGCACAGCTGTATCTAGGGGAAATCTGGATGTTGCTTGTTATTGGAACATTGTTGGCTTAAAACCAAGGGGAAGCATTCGTAGTTGCTCATTGTCATGGGAAGGAATTTCAGTGCAAATGCCTGTGCTGTCAGGGGAGGAGAAAGCCTGGGCGACATCTGGCTTGGCTGAGAGAGGAGCCCTTATCTTGGTTGCAAGCAGCCAAGATGTTCTCCAGGCACTGGCAGTGGGAGGGACTCGTGACCCAAGTTTACTGTATGGGATAGCAAGACCTTGGCAGTTGTTCCAGCGAGGAAGGCAGTTGCCTTGTCCTGTTTGGAGGGGAGTGAAAGTGTGAAAACCTACACTAACAATGGGGAGAAAGACTGGGAGGTGATAGGAGGAAGGTCAGCAGTGAAAGTGAGATCTCAGGAGTGGTTTTGAGCAGAACAGCAAAAAATTTGAGTGTTTCAGTTTGGCAGCAGAACTGAAAAGAAGAAAAAAAAGGTTCAGACAGCTGAACAGGTTTTGGGTTGGGGTGGTTTTTTTTTTTTTGTTTTGTTTGGTTTGTCTTTTCTGATGCGCTGTTTTTCTTGGTCATTGTTTCCAGAAAAAAACCCTGTTCTCTCTCCCTTTCTTCTTCCATTTAATCAAGGGTTAATCTGAGGGCTATTTCAGGCTAATTTCTCTTAAGATATTTATCTATATTTTAATAAAAAACTTAATTTGAAATGAGCAGTTAAATTTTTTTCATTTTGAAAATGCTGGAAGGAAACCCTGTTGCCCTTTCCCTATTTCCATTCTTTTGGTACAAACTGCTTTTCAAATTTGATGTGAAATATGTCTCAAGCAAATTTATATCCCAGCAAATTTATTACTTACAAAGAAATGTCACCATCCCCCGGGTTTGTATCCTCTGGGCAAGTGGGAGTTCTGCTGTGACTCCCGGGAAAGGCAGAACAAATGTGGTTATGTGAAACAAGGACTCCTTCTTCTTTGCCTGACTCCTGCTGCAAGCTAGAATGAGGTCAGGAGAGTGAAGCAGGGAGAACTTCTCCAGCACTGTTTTTTTTTTTTATCCCCTTGCCTGGTTACTCCTTACCTCTACCTTTTGGCCAAGACCAAACACAGAAGTACTGCAGTAGCACAAGACAGACCACACTTGTATTTTTTTTTTTCCAAGAAATGATGGTGTTTTTTTAGGAGAGGTTGCACAGTTAATTCAGATAAATAATTTGTGTTTAGCTGGTTCCAGCTGTGGCCTCAGTTACCTGGCAAGGTGTGGTGGGGATAAGGTTTTAAAGATGTTTCTGAGGCAGCATCTCACCTGTCTCTGCAGGAGCTTTCCTCATCCCTTACCTCATCTTCCTCTTCACCTGTGGGATCCCCCTGTTCTTCCTGGAGACCGCGCTGGGGCAGTACACCAGCCAGGGAGGGGTCACTGCCTGGGGGAAGATCTGCCCCATCCTGGAAGGTGAGTCAAGTTACAGGAAGTACTTTCTAACAGTTAGTAACTAGGAGTCTTCTTTGGAAATGTTATTCTGTTGTTTGTTGTTTTTTTTTTTTTTCTTTCTCCTCTGTTCTCACTCCCTTCCGCTCTCTTCCAGCCTTGTGATCTCTCCTGGTGACTGCTGTGTGAGCAGGAGCAGTGCCCTGACCCCCCCGTAGGTGACCAAGGGCGGGTGGTGCTGGCTGGGGGCTGTGCTGGTCCAGCCAAGCCACAATCTCTGCTTTGAGGTGCTCAGAGCCTGGGAGAAAGGAGAGCAGGATGGCCAGCAAACATAAAGAAGAAGGTGGACGTGCTGGTACACAAATGCCTGCATGTAGCCCAGGACAAAGGCTAAAGAGAGACAAGGATGGGGAAGGCTGGCTGGCTTATGGTGCTTTACCTGCCCATCGCTGTGCCTAGGGCAGCTGTGGTGGTGTTTGCAGGCTTGCATCCTGCAAACTGGGGGGATCACACTGCACCCACCAGTCTGACAGCCCAGAGATGCTCTGGAGTTGTGTTAAAGGCACGGGTACAAGGAACAGGACTCCTGGGGCCCTGGAAAAGGATGTTTAGTGGCTTTGAGATGTTAATGAATCTAATATTCAAAACTCTCCTCTCCAGGGCAGAGCTTATTACCCCCATTTTGCAGACAGAGAAACCTGTACAGGTTCAGGGAGATAAAAGGCCTGGTTAGTGTGCTCAAGCACAGGTGTGGGTGCTATCTGAAATTCCCTGGGGAGTACAGGACCTCCTGTGCTGGACACCCCACACTCTGTATGGAGCCTAGGGGTGGACAGCAGTAGCATCTCAAAGGGCACTGACAACTGGTTTTAAACAAATGAGTTGGGCCTTTCTGACCCAATGACCTCCTTTCTGATGTCTCAGTGAGCAATGGGCACAAGCAGGACCCAAGACTAGAGCTCAACTCCCGGGTCTGTACTTCTGCACCAACACCATACCTTATGTGTGGTACCGGCAATGAGAACATTTTTTGCCTGAGTCTTTCCAGAAGGAAGAAACTCACCTGCATTTCTTTTCTTTCAAGACTAGAGCTGGCTCTCCTGTGTGATGTAGTGGCATGGTAGTGGTCAGAAAAAAGTTTTCCCATCAGTGAAAGGTTTTCTCTTTTTTCCACCATGGACTTGTCTAGAGATACCAACAATGTTTCCTGCCTGCATGCACAGTCACAAAATCCTTTCTCTTACTTACCCTATTCTCTAGTGAACCATGTGGTTGGTGTTGCATCCTTTTTACCATGGCACAGTCTATGCCTGCATTTCAGGTTAAGCCTGACGTCTTGGAAGTTGTTTGTCAGCCCCATCCTCACCTCCTTTGCTTTCCTTCACAGGAGTTGGATATGCCTCACAAGTCATCGTGTCCTATCTGAATATCTACTACATTGTCATCCTGTCCTGGGCACTTTTCTACCTGTTCAGCTCCTTCACCACAGTGCTGCCATGGGCCAACTGCAATAACCCCTGGAACTCAGGTGCACTTTCCCTTGGTTGGCTCCTAGCTCCTTCCCAATTCCCAGAAATTATGTGGGTTTTGTAGAAAATATTTTTTATTTAGATAAAAAGCTCTCATGATCTGCAGTGTTGCTAGGGACTCCTGCAAAGGTGATTGCCTTCATTCACCATGGGCAAGTGTCAGGAAGGGTGAGTGGTAGGTAAGACCCTATGCCTAGCAGCAGGGGACAGTAAAACTATTTCCACATGGATATGTTTTGGGTGTTGAGATTTCACTGAAAAATCTGCATTTGCTGGCAAGTAGGAGAGCTAGGTAGGTTGGGAGAGTTTTCAAGCCAATCTAGAGTTCTCCTCACATGGTAGGAGCTTTTCATTAGCTCTGGTCAATATTTTGTCTCACAATTCCCTTACTCTACCCTACTCCTTTGGAGTTAGTGGGACAGTTGCTGCCACGTACTGAACAGTTTCCTTTAAGCACTCAGTTTTTGGCTAAATCAGGCCAGGCATGCACCAGAGGGTTTTGTCAGTACAGGTCTCCCAGTGCAGGAACCAGTAACATAAAACTCTAAAGGCACCATTTTTCTGGCCTAATGACACCCATACAAGTCTCTATACCATTACATTGGTCAGGGGTCTCTTCTCCTCATGCCCACAAGCTCTCGTAACTGTACACCCAGCAGAGAAGACCTGGCTTTGGTTTTATTCAAGGCACTTGGGCTGTACCCAGGAAGATGGGGTAGATGTGAGGTAACCCTCATGGTTCTGATGTCCTTGACAGGCCTTTTTTACCATGCTGAAGAGGTTGTTTTGCTTTCAGTGGAAAGCTAGGCTAGAAGTGGCTTTGGCGGCAGCTCTCTTCCCTCCCTTTTTCTCTTGGGTCAGATGATTCATTTCTGTGATGTGTTAAATTTCTCCACCCCATGGGCCATTCACTCACAGCTTCCTCTGCCCCTTCATCCCAGCAGAGGTAACCAGGCTTTTAAAGAGTGTATCTGATTCCTTCAGATCCCCCAGTGTGGGTTTGTTTGCGTGGAAAGCCACAGATGTTCTCTTAACAGGCAGAAGCTTCCCAGCGAGAGCTGGGCTTCCTCGTTTTTTTCCAGCAGGTTGTGTTTTGCTTGCCAAATGCAAGATGAGGTGCATTTCTTGGATGCATGGCATCTCCTCTGCTTTTAGTAATTTCACGGTATGTGACAGGGTTAGGGATGGCAGAGTGGAACATGAAGGCCTCTATGGTGTGTGTGAACATATATGTGCTTGTGTGGACAGGGAATGGTGTGCAGTGGGGGAGGAGAATGGGATTTTCTACCCTGCCTGCTCATAGTGGCTGTCCCTCAATAATCTATATTTTGCAGCTGTCTGGTTTCCATTTGACAGGGAGTTGCTAACTCCTTCCCCTCTCCCCTTCCTGAAGCCCTCTGGCTACGACTGGTTTGGGATTCGTAGCTGGGGAGACCGAGAGTTTAATGAGATGCTTAATGAGATGCAAGAGTTTAATGAGATGCTCTATCGGACAGGGTGAAGGGTCTGTGTGTTGCCAGAGTGAGGGCTAGGATACAGAGGGGAAGGAGCATCCCTCATGGAGGAGCCTTGGAGAATTTCTTTGGCTCATCAGCTTCCTTTTCTTTTGGTAGATCTCTGTGTGGACATTCTGAATAGCTCCAGCTTGGACAACAGGACCTTGCCTGCGAACGCCACTTCCCCAATGATTGAGTTTTGGGAGTATGTGATCGCTTTCCCTCTGTTCAGGCTCCTCTGTCATCCAAAGGCTGCAGTTGTAGGAGTATCTGGGGGGAGGGCTGTGCATCTCTGTAGGACAAAGTGAGGTGCCACATATCAGACCTGAACAAGGGGAGCACAATGCACCAAGCTGCCAAGGAGATAAGCACGCAGCCCAGGAGCATGAGGACAAGATACACCCTGAAGGCTGCTTGCAGTGTGCCTGCCCAGGGGTGCTCATGTGTGCACACGCACGGGCATGTTCCCTTTCTGGCACTGAGGTACCCAGGTGAGTGTGGCCACAGAAAGGGGCACCAAAAGAAGATAAGAGCTTGCTGTAAGCAGGTGGTACTTGTGTTGGGTGTTGAAGGCTACTGTTGACAGGCAAGCGTGAAAGGTCAGGGCAGACTGAACAGTCCTGTACAGTGAAATAGAAAGGGACAAAACTGTCTTTTCCCTTCTTATGAGCAGGTCTTGCTTGGTGCCTAAGGGAAGTGGTCCATGGGGCTGCTCAGGCTTATCCCTGGAGAGCAGGGATCGGAAGTGCATGCATGAGATGCCAGAGAGGGACTCAGGGAGGTTTGGTTATGGGGCTGGAGGCAATAAAACACCTCTGAGGGAGGGGTCCTGCAGCAGAGACAATGTCCCAGAAAGGGTCATCACTGCAGCCTGGAGAGGTTGAAATGGCTGCTGGGGCCACACTGCCTCTCTGTACTCAACTGAGGAAGGTCTCATAAAGAAGAGGGGTGCCAGGGGCTCAGCTTCAGTAGTATTTTTTTTTCCCCATTTATGGCTCTTAAAGTGCCTCTGAGGGAGCTGAGTATCCTTTGTCCCTTGCAGCCACAACAGGACACATATAGAAGATGATATGCACCCATGGGTGCAGAAAGAATCTTCACAGTGCTGGACCTTGTCTCCTGCCCTATTCTTTGCATGTACTGTTTAGCAAGACCTGTGACCCCTCTGAAACAATTTTTCAGGTTTTCTGCAGAGGTTGCAAGGGCAAGGGGACCCTGAGGGGGCTGGTTTGGAGAAAGGTATGCAGAGGAATCACAAGCGCGGGCTTGGGCTTTTGGGAACTGCATGATCTGCAGTGTTGAGCTCTCATGTGGCCCATCTTCATGGTGGTGAGTCTTCAAGGAATGAGGCTGAAAGAAGGGCATGGGAATAATAAATGACATTTATGCTTATATGTACAGTGTCTGTAGTATATGGGAGGCCAAAGGAAGAGCAGTGGTCATGGGGTGATGATGGCATTGGTGACCTCCTTTGGATGCAGTAGTGTCTGCTGGGCAGCTGCCGGTGTGGGGGAGCAATGTGGGACAGGTGGCAATTTTGTGCTGTGTGGGTCTGATGGGCACAGTGCCATGGGCTTGGAGAGTGGGAGGGTTTGGGCCAGCTATAGGGCATGGTGGAGCAGCATCAGGAGGGGAGCCCTAGGCAGAGCTGGCGTGATTTGCACAGATGTGTTGTAGTCTGTTAAATCTTTGGATGGGGTACTATGGGAAAGTTCTGTATGGATGAGTGGGTTCTGGGGTGTTAATGCTTCTCTCCCTGTCCCTGGACACCGGCAGGAAGCGAGTCCTGGGGCTCACGGATGGTATTCACAAACTGGGCATGGTGCGCTGGGATCTGGCTCTGTGTCTCCTGTTGGCGTGGATCATCTGCTACTTCTGCATCTGGAAAGGGGTCAAGTCCACAGGCAAAGTAGGAATGGAGTTTGTCCTCCTGGTCCATAAGCCTCCTTGTACCCATCTAACATTTCTTTCCCAATCTCTTTTCCCTCTTCATGAAGTAGAGGCAAGAGATACACAGCGCCAAAGTCAAACCTGAACCCTGGTGGGGCCTTACTGATTTACACCAGTTGTGTTTGACCCATAAGAGGAAGAATAAAAGAGCAGGTCAAACAGAGAGGGGAGAATAGGGAAA